GATATTTGGATTTGATATATAAATAAAAATATATTTTTTATATACATAATAACCAATAGCAAAGGTGGCAATAAAGATGGAACCTGCAACTATAATTGGATAACTGGTACTACCTTTTACATATTTAGCAATAGAATTCATAGCAATAAATGGTAAATCACTATTATTATGAATATTTAAACAACTGATTTCACGTGATTTTTGTTTACCTTCTTCTTCAGTTGGTAATTTTATAAATTGAATATGAACATATGATGGTTGACGGCAAAAGAATGGAATTTTAATTGAACGGGCTTCTGGTAATGGGCTGCTAATACTCTTTTTGTTTCTAATAGTCACAATAACATTTTGTGGATCATTTGATTGTTTTTGACAAGTGACTTTGAATGAATTATTATCACCTGGAGTGATTGAGAGTGAGTTTTGTTCTTTATTATCTGATGAAATAAATTTGGAATAAATCTTTGGTTGTAAAAGCCATGTCTCTTTACCACCACAGAAAGAAACCTCGGCCGACGAACCTAAACTTAATAAAAACTCTATTTGATCAGCTGGTGGAGAAGCAAAAATACGAATTTCTTCTCTCATTCCATTGTATTGAACTGAAATAACAGTTGAGCCTTCTTTTAGAGCCAAAAATTCACGAGATGAACATATGTCACTTGATATCTTTTGTTGGTCGACCTTTTCATGTGGTAAAATTTTGAAAATGGAATCATCTTTAACTTTCCATTCTAAATTATTAATTGAGCAAGATTCGAAATGAACTCCATTTGGTAAATGATTTGATAATAATTTAGTTGAGAGTACTAATTTTTTACCAACTTCGACCTCTACTTGAGATGATGAAAAAACAATTTGGTCTGGTTCTTGAACAATGACAACAGATCTAGCACAATTATTATTAGAAATAACACCTTTAGAATTGACATCAACAATGGATGTATTTCCAACTTTTGGATTCCAAATATAAGTTGGAGTTGAGTTTGGAAAATCTATAAAAAAAATTAAGGTTAATTTTTATTATCCAATATTTACTTTTTAAAAAAGTTCTATTTTTAGTTAATAGTTTATAGTTTATTTTAGTACCTGGAATGCAAATTGAAGAACTTGGATTTAATTGGGGTGTTTGGGTAAATCTTGATAAAAAAAATATAACTAAAAATGATAGAAATAAAATTTTATTTACTATCATATTTAGGTTGATTTTATATAAATATATATAAAATATATAAATATATAAAATAATAAAGAAAGAAAAAGTTGAAAAAATAAAATATTGAAAAATGTGTGAATATTATTTAATTAAAATTATAAAAAAAAAAAAATATTATTGTGTTGAAAAATTGTAAAAAAAAGCTATTATTTGTGTGAATAAAATAATAAAGAAAAAAAAATAAAATATTTTCTTTAATTCAAAAAAAAAAAAAAAAAATTAAAATAATAAAATATAAAAAATAAATTCAAAAAAATTTATTTATTAAAAAGAAAGAATTGTTTAATTTTTTTTATAAAATAAAGAAAATAATTAAAAAAATATTTGTAAAGCAATAATTTAGTTTATATCTTTTTTTATATTATAGATTGATCATTTTTTTTATTTGATTTCGATTTTTTATTTAATTCTCTTTTAAATGATACCCAAAACATTAAACTAACTTTTTCATTGTAAAAAAATGATTTTAAAAAAAT